CTTAACTTCGCGTCGCTCGGTTCGATCGCGCTTTTTATCACTCGGCACATAAACTAGCATATGCACCACGGTAGAAAAGTATTTTCTCCAGATGGGTGCACAATATACTATTTTTCCTCAATTATCATTCTGAAATCGATATACAATCCGACACCGATTATCTGGTGATTTTTGTTCTGTCATTGAAAAACGCGTTGCAAGGCGCACTTCAAAAGTGCTAGTCATATATAAAAAAAGGATTGATCGATGTACTGTTTTTCCCACTTCATTTATATAAAAAATAAACCCAAGGAAGACATTCACCAATATTAACAATTTATTAGTACATTGATTTAAAGAAAAGTGTGTTGGTATTATTCCATCTTGTCGTATGCTCTTGGATACACATAAATGCGCTTGTCATTTCCGGTATTTTATAGGACTTCGCTTCGCTCAACCGATCATTTACTTCAACTGCTGATTCTTTACCTATTAACTAATGGTATATTCGCTTTGACTCAATCGCTTCGACTGTGTCGCTCAACCATTAATAAGAAATATTGACTTGGCCATATATTCAACGATGCCATTCGTCGGTAGTTAAAGAATCTCGATTGATATAAATTAATTGTTTTCGCCAGTGAATAACGACCAGACAAGTTCCTACAGCCTAGATAGCTGAAAATAAAGACAATAGGCGACAATGGAAACAGACAAAGATGATATTACGAGCGAATGCGGTGTGGATTAATGAAATGATCGGTAGAAAGCAGGCGAGCTAATAATAAATTCGTTCGAATTGGGCAAGGTCGGGTCGATGCCAATTGCGATAGCGCTCTCTTGCTACTCTCTCACCAACTCGATTTCCTTGACCAAGACCTTAACACCGAATATTCAATTAACGCAGGGCAAATTCATTACTAGAATCAAGACCAGAGCTGAGGTTCTCTGGTCAAGAAATGGGGAAAACCGTCATAATGGTGGTTTAGAGAAACATAGAAGTAATTTTTTTTTTTAGCTTACTGGATAAGATTACATTAAATGTTGCTTCTTTTCGAATTAATTAATTATATACTCCCCAATGTAATTATTTAATTGTGATAACCCAGTCAAGCTTCTCTAAAAAACTGGTGAATTTTGCATTGCTATTGATTTTCATTCTATGCTTTCATAATTACTGTTACTTTAGAGCATTTCAGAGGATCATTCAAATATTTTTTAAAATGGCCCGTGAATACGTAAAATTTCACAGTTTCACAGAGAATTTACGGAACTTTTTTGTACACTTTTGATAATAGACTAGGAAATCTACTCGACGTTTCAGACATTTCTCTTATATTTTTATCGAAATTCACCTAAAATCATTCTCCCTTGCGTAAAACGTGCTATAAATTTTGTTGAGTATTTCTCTTCGTGCATCGCTATTTTTTAGATGGAAATATGTTTCGTGATAATTTCTACACACGTCTTTTCAATGAACAATCATCAAATATCTTAGTTGTTTTATTATTACTGAATTATATTTTTGCTATCTTTATCTGCGAATAACTGCTTTAAAACACTTAAAAAAATTAATTACTAATTAAATTGATAGAGAGGCAAAAACAGCAGACTCATACCTCTTAAGGTAGTATTCCTGGGAAATGATGAGTCAAGCTAGAGTAATGATGACTTTGATTAGCGCGGTAGTTTGGCTTGGCAACATTCCTCAATGGCTTGCATGCCTGTGTAATGTGTTTCCATCTGTGTTATTTTCTTATTATGAAAGGAGAAACACAAAAATGAAGTTCGCCCGAGTCGCAATATCTCGAAACGCGTAGGACTAATTCCTCATTGGTCAACTCCAACCGCCAAATTCAAATCCGGCGCACGACCTGCGCAGTAGGTCTCGTGTATTTACGACACCTCACTTAATGTGAGTAGCCTTGTTGCCACGTCGACTGATTTCACACTTGATTAATTAATTTCAACATTACATATATATTATAACCCATGAATCAAAATTTTTCAATGCGCAAAATGTTCTCTAATCTCTGTACATATAGCTTAAAAAATTTGATGGAAAACTCATTGTCAGAATTTTTACAACGAAAAAAAAAGTGAACTGCCATAAGAATGAATGTTAATCGTTGAACTATAAGAAAATTGATATTTATTCAACTGAGCCATTTTTGCATTAAAGTGTATCTGCATGTGAATTTTCATCAAATTCTCATCGTTGTTTGATATACGTTTGTATAAAATAAGTTTCTATAAAACTGTTTATTTTACTCCAACTATACAACATAATTTTCTGAAAATGCATAGATATTCCAGAAATCCAGACAAAATTTTTTTTTTATAATTAATCAAGTTACCATTTACCTACCCTTTTCAAAACCATCCACACTTAAATAATTCAGCACTGCTATTATAATCGATGATTCAGAAAATTTCCATTTATAATCAATAATAATTTGCAATTGTACTAATTGTATTATTCTATAATAGGATAAGGCTTACCCTATTATAGAACTTATCATACTAGGTGCCTTGGTGGCAATTTCCACATGAGTCCCCATTCGTCTCTCACCTTTCCAATACCATAACCTCTCCACTTTTACATAGGAGACCGAACGCGCACTACAGCGCGCTGTAATTATAAAAATTATCTGAACCAATGAGGAATAAGCATGACAGAATTTCGAAGTATCGATAGTTTCGATATTTGTCTTTTTTAGAATAGGAAACTCTTTTCATTATTATTATGGACCCACGTAGTAAAAAAAATCGAAAATGCACGGATCAGCTCCTAAAATATGTGCGCCAATATATATCAGCCTATTGTCAATTATTTTTATTTAATTTCTAGAAATGGCGTGCCAGAAAACTCAGCACTAATTTCATATCGAATCATTTTGGAAACTCTGGGTATTATTTGAATTACTAAAAGAATATATTTTTGAAGCTAAAGGCAGCAGCACATTATTGTCATTTGATCCCATTTAAATGCTGTAGAAATATCTTAAAATGAACCCACTATTTTCATGATTTCGCTAATTGCATTATTATTGAAAGAAGGCACTCTCGTGAATACATGTTTTTTTTTTGCATTTTTGCAATCCTCACTCGTGAATTTCACATCTCTAACAAAATATGGATTCAGTGGCAAGGGCACAATACTTCTAAGACAGAAATATATATAATCATCGTATTGTGCACAATACAATTGTAGCACTTGTACACGATTCTGTTCATTATTTACGACGAAAACAACTCCCACCCTTTACTCCTCCAGCATTATATGCCGCCGTGTCATGGTCTCACAATTTGCGGTTACGGTCATCCCTCATATCATATCATCACCACTGCCAAATCAGCATTATTGCAATCAGCGAAATGATGTTGAAGGAATGTTGAGAATAATTAAGAGCCTTCTCAGTAATCTCTACTTGTCAGCCAGGGTCAACTATATTGCCTCTTCGTACAGCTTTTGGCATACCGCGGTAAGATCGAGTCAATGTAATTAGTTCGATATCGTCCAGAACACGCATGTATAAGTAAATCGTGTCTGTACATAATGTAAAAGTCAAAGTATGTGGTTTTCTCGAAGTGGTCGACAACGCCCCAGCAGACAGGTGACCTTGATTGGTATCTTTCTTTGAATTCTTCGGAATCCAATGCTATGGTACATACATAGTCATTTTCATATACATCAATCAACTCAACACTAAAAGATGTTAAAAGCTTATAAAGAATCGTCAATTCCAGAAGTTGTCCAATGTCACTGAGAAATTGCCGTTTTAAAATCGTTTAAACTTCAACATGACAAACTTATTTTTTCCTTCCATATTTTTCATGAAATTAATGTAATCCAAGATTTCCCACTGAAAAATGGACGAAATTAGATTTTTTATCAACCAAATCTAACTGCAAATCTCGGGATTTAATCTATTTTTTTTTCTGGAAATTCTGCGATATTAATTTACAACATTAAAAATAATTCATGTATCTATGATGGTTTTATGATAATGATCTGTCAGTGAAATAAAACGTAGCCAATGTAGAGTCGGAAAGAATTCTTGTATTTTATTAGAAAAATCTATAATTCTTGCAAATTTCATGAAAAGAAAAAACATTCACGTATTTGCGTAATTCGAAAGAAATGATTTCGAGTCTTACAAGAGAGCCGTAAAATTAATAGTTTTTTTTCAACTTAATCAAAGTCAATCACGAATTTTTAAACGCATAAAATGATTGATTCATATCCAAGGAGATTCGCTAACTATTAACGACTGCTACAGTTGAATATGGCCTAACGAATATTTCGGTTAAGCCAAATCAAATATGTCATTCATTACTACTTACCGAATAATTTGATGAGCTGAGCAAGGCCCCCCGATAAAACAGTGGAGAAGAGCATAAGGGAAGATGGCATAATATGACCGCAATTTTATTTAAATTAGTGTAGCGGTAAACCATTAATATTATGGAATGTTTTTTTTTATTAATTCTTTATATAATTGAACTGGGAAAACTTAACCTGTTTTACTGAATCAAATGTACACGTCGAACCCGATGAATTCTATTCTATTCTATTCCTTTCATGGCTATATCCCCTTTTCATTCGAGTAGAGGGCAAGCGCTGGAAACCCGACGAATGATGCCCGAAATACTAATACCGACCAGTGTCAAGCAGAAGGTACATAGAACCAAGCTCAATTCAATAATTAACTACCCGAGTGGAAATTATAGCAGGCGAACCTGAGGTTTGATCAGGTCTTGATATGGCGGAGGTCAGTTTCAACTGATCAGGCAGAACTTGATAGGCAACTACAACTGAAACTGAGCTGTTCGCCATCAATTCTTCTGATCAAGTTCGAATCCAATGCTCTTGAACTAAATTAGTGAATTATTCATTTAATATTGTTATTATTATTAAAAGTATAACCGATAAAATTTTATTCGAGTGATTTTTTGCTTTTTAAAGTCAAACACATATCCCCAATATACATCCTATAAGCTAAAGTATCGGTCAATGACAATAAAAAACGGCATAGTCTAGTGCTTAGGGCATAGAATTAGTAATCGTAAGGTCCTCGGTTCGATCGCCAGTGTCGGCGAAAATACTTGGGTTTTTTCAGCATTAAGTATGGTAGGTATTCATTGATGAGGGTAATATAATGTTAAAAAAGTGATGAATTTTTTATTTTGAATTCATTATAATTAATAAATACGTTCAATTTAAGTTATCAAGTACTAACCCGTTTTGTTTAATGAAACCCGGATCCGATACGCTTGATCAAATCCGGATTGAGTCAAGGCGTTATATGCCTGATCAAGTCTTGGTCAAGTTTTAGGCTCAGTACCTGATCCAACAGCACGTCTGACTTGATCCAAACGTGGTCTAGACCGGAACTAAATTTCCACTCGGGTATTAACCAATGATCGTTGAACTACTTTTCATTAACCAGTATTCGCTCGTGGCTATTATAGAAACACGTGTTTTGGTCAATTATAAAGACTATTTCGTTGACGAGACAAAGTAATCTATATAAGAGAAATATAGCAAAAATAGACTTAGTTGTGTAATTATGATGAGCATAACAAACGAATCCGTAGAGATGGTTCATAGGAATCTATTTCTTAATGATAAATTAATGATCCTCTCAGTGAAAAGATTCCCGGAAAATCCGTCATCTTGAATATGAACATACATAATTGGTTTGACAGGTGAATTGTCCATCAAGATGATAAAGTCTTATCCTACAAATCCCCGAGTGTGTGGGATATTGTCGGCATGAAGTGAAGCTGATAGAGCGTGACCCCACAGTGGCCAAAGTAACGCTTGTTCTCCTTTCAACAGGAAACCATTCTAGTTCAACCGGTCGCAAGACCTAATGGAAATAAACACTAGGAGGCGTGAAATTCACCGAGAAAACACCTACGCAAAATTCACTACTTTTTCCACTGTCACTTTTTCCTCGTTTTATTCTTTTCACCGATTTTTTGCTCATTGATCTACCATTATGCCTGAAGCTGTCACGATTTGCGTCACGATATTCCTCGTAAATACTGGCTTTACTTTCAGCGTAATGGTATTCCAATGTTCATTGAGAGTACCGGGAGACTAAAAATGGCTTGAACCTTTCAGCAATTCTGTATGATAGAACATTGCATTGTTTGACTTAAAACAACCATCAGATATACTAAACTGGGGGATCAAGGTCGTCATTTGAATACCTGAAAATATACACGGATGGCATGTAGCCATTTCCTCTCACCCCAAATTCCACGAAATTCCTCTGTTCAGCTATTAAATTTATCTATCTAATCTGGGTCAAATTACACTGGTATGAGTTTAGCATTAAAATCGTCGAGAAATTCCAGTACTTCGAATTTTACGACTCTCGTACTAAAATATGGCCAACGGCTTCATTCCCATCCAATAAAATACATCAACATATTTTACACAATGTCACAATGTTTATATATCTATTTTCATTCTGAATTATCCAAGCTTATCTTGACCACAAGGATCCACTCAAGTTCGTTCACTACCATCGTACATCATCATGGCTACGGTCACTGACAGCTTCAATTAAATTCAAGACAAGACCCGACTTGTTACATCCTCAAAAAACCAATCTTCATGTTACGTTTGAATCAGAGAAAACAGTACTTCAGCCTCTCTGCTTGAGATATTTTTTATCCTCATTTCTTCACCCAAGTAACTCACATGATTTACGTGGTATGCTGTCTACGGCCCAACAACTTGTGAACACACAGGTAGATTAAGAATTTTTTATTCATCTGTAATAACAAGGAATATTGCTGTTGAACTTGCCTCACTCCAAGGACAAGTGAGGGAAAAAATATTGAAGGAATATTGTGATTGTTATAATTCACTCGTAATTCAATCTTCATCTTTGTCGATAACAATCGATAATAAACCTTAATTTTATTCATGCGTCGATATGTCATGTCTTTGCCTGCATCCAAATTTATGACCTGAAATAGTATGAGAGCATGGTGCAATCATTAAGTTTACGACAATTCGAGACACTCATGAGTGGGCACAATCACTTTATTTGATGCACGACAATTAACATTATTATTAATTATTACTAATGAGCGACGATTAATATTACTTCCTCAATATTTCTGTTTATATTTTTAATTTATTCGACCTTCATTGGATCTTCATTGAGTGATGTAGCCAGGTACTGAGTAAAATCAATCTTTTAATTAACCGCTCTTTCAGTAATGAAAATTCGTCATGTTCATACATATCATTTGTGAACCATTTCTGTTTCTATTAAATTTTTATTTATTTTTATGTTAATTATTATTTGTTGCTGTAATTTAATTGATCTGTTTACTGTTTCCTGCTATTCAAAAATATCAGATTTATCCATTCATCGATTGCTTGCAGGTGACACGCATGAAACTTTTACATATCAATTTGTAGGTCTGATCGAGATCTTCAAATTGCTATCTCATATGAGCTATTTCACTCAGTTGATTAATCGCTATACATGATAATACGGCTAATTTAGCATGTCATATATACATATAATATATAGATAATTGATAATCCATAATAGAGAATAATCGGTCTTACCGGGCAGGTTATAAGGTATTCACAATTTTCTTTTTCGGTAATAAAAGCTGTAGCCACTTTTAATTTGTTGCCGACTATACTGGAAGCAGTATATAGAACTAAAAAATATCGTCTCAAATTTATGCAAAATAGTGAGCGTGCGTAAAGCAAAGCGCACGATCTCCCTAGTCAAAACTAAAATTTGTTTATGCTTATTTTTGCTGTAAGATATAAAAAATTTAATAATTTAAGATGAAAGGAGCGTATCTACAAATATTAATGGCTTCCGAATGTCTCATATGATTCCTCACAGAAAACTCGGGGAGAAAAATAAGCAAGGGGATTATATACTAATTCGTAACTTGAGTTTGTTATTTTTCGCAAATCAATTAGCAATATGCTTCCGACTAGTCATTTTACACATTCGATAATTATATATTTGTTGTACCCGACGTGGGGCGGGGGGGGGTAGTTATTTTTATTGTAGGTTCTAGGCTCGAAGGGATAAATCACACCAATAGTTTATAGGTATCAAAATATGAGAGTTTATTACTTTAGTTATGCCATCTGACTGATTACAAAGATTACGACTAACACATGTCGGAGCCCGGTTTGGATCTTCCTTCTGCATACCCAAACGGCCTCTTAAATACATAATTGTTTGTGTGTCATTACTTGGTCAGCATAATCCAGTTATGCTGGCAAGTGTCACGCTGACAATGCTGGATGTCCAAATATTTAACAATAACCCAATTAACCAAAATCTGGGGCATAACATATTATTAATTTTATATTATTACTCATTTTTGAGGCCTGTATGTTGGAGTGGCGTGAGCCAGCTAACCCACCGCTCAAGAGACTGATTTTCCTGGAATCCCGGAAAAAATATCCCAGGAAAAAATATCCCACACATTCAAAACGTGTTAAAACTCGCTGAATTTAATTATTTTTTAATTTAATTATTTTTTTCGTTGTCTATTTTTTCAGGGGCTCTAATTTTCCTATGGTCTATCAAATTGGGTGGGTTTTAACACGTTTTGGGTGTGTGGGCTATTTTTTCCGGGGATATTTTTTCCGCCTACCTTTTCCTGATCCTTTCCGATTAAGAGCCTGACCTTTCTAATCTTCTAGATGGCCTGACCCTTCTGACAACGGAAATTTTCAACGTCCACCGCAACTATTTTCCAATCTCCAGAGAATTTGATTCTTCTAAACCTTTTCGATAGAGAGCCTGGCGGTTCCCTTTAAGTTGTCTGACCCTTCTTTGTACATGTAATTAACAAATCTAGTTATTGATGTTGAAACAGTATATTTGAAGAAACCATTAAGAAGATCCTTTTCAGAGAATTTTCTAAAAAATAACAGTAAATGCAAAAATCGTTCTAGAAATCAAATCAACTGATGTAGCTATTGTAATAATCATTTCACGGAAATGCAGTGCACGGGGAGAACAATTCAAAACAGTATTCAGTAAAAATACTTCTTACTTTTACTCTTTCGTGAACGTTTTGGACTTTTTCCGGCAAGTCAACTGAAAAAGTGTGTAACTGTTCCGTAATTTTTACTGAATATTATTTTGACTGGCAGGTTACGGAACAGGCACGGAATTTTTAAAGAATGTTTCTCTCCGTGTAGTTCTAAAACTGACATTTTGATTGATGATTGAATTAATTTAAAACATAGTATCAGAAAAGTTTTGAGAATTTTCATTCTTTTGAATTAATTTTATTTCCACACTTTCTTAAGACCTTGCCTACTTTCCTTACTTTCTTAACAATACAAACGACTATTTATACTATCATTCCCATCCGTATGATTTGTAATGATTTTGTAAGCCGTATTCCTCAGTTATCGTAAGAGAAACGATTTAAAAAAAAAATTAAAGAAAAAAAATGAATAACACAATCAAATCTTGGTTTACGCCAATGAATAGGGCTCAATAATACCCAGATTTTTCTGGAAAGATTCAATTCTATTCTTTTCTAGCCGGACAATTCAAGAAAAACTTTTGAACATTTTTTATGTATATACGGGGAGAAAAATTTCATAAAAATGACATGCCGATTGCGTAATCTGCCCTTTCGTAATCTGGGTTCAAGAAAAAATATGGAACGTTCAGTGAAGAAGTACGTAACTGTTCCATAATTTTTACCGAATACTTTTTTGCCTTGCAGATTACGGAACAGGCATGTAATTTCTTTATGACATTTTAAAATTTTTTGATGAAAGATACTTACATATATACATATGAATAGGTTTGAAAATTGCATTTATGTCATCGCGGCTGGTAAAACGCGTTTTGCGTCTTAGGCCACAATGACATAAAATAGCATCATAGCCGCGGCGAAAAAAGTAATTCTGACTCATGCGCGTTATAATCCTTGCCTTCGGCTGCGACCATAAAGCCGCATTCCTCAGATTCACTTTTTCCGTTCTAGGCGTGAAAAATACTATTTCGAACATTTTTAATTATATTACGTCCACATAACCCGAAAAATTCAAAACTTTATTTTGGACCTTTATGATGCTTCTATTCACAAGGGAAAAACAATAAATAAGAGTAATACAAGACAGAAGGAACGCATCTCCATACTTATGCCTCTTTTATATGATGCATTACAATTGTAAAAATTATGTATTATTTATAGGTACATTCAAAAGAGTGAAGCCCTTTTTTTTTATTATTGCATTTCTGGGAAAATAGAAGGAAAGGGGACGACTTGCTAACATACGGATTTTTGCTGTAAACAATTTCGACTTATGTCGTTTTCCCACAGCAAAAAATTGTTGTCCAGAAATACTGAACGGAGACTCAGCTAAATAACCCCATGTTAATAATGAAACCCCATACCAGTTTTAAATAAAAAAATAATGCGAAAAATTGAACACTTAGAACAGTCATTACTTTCGCCGTATCAATTTACTAACTACAAAAAAATTTACATACTCCCAATGCAAATATTTGTATGCACTTTCTTGTGCCAAGGAAATTTGCTCGACACCAGTAAATTAACTTAACAGAAATAATTTTTACCCTATAATTTCTCCCGATTCCTCGTCTGGGAATTGGTACTACATACCTCCCAAACTCGAAAACTTAAAAATCTCTACGGAAAAATATTATCAGGGCTGTTGGGATCGGGTTTTTTTTACTGGTGCTGTTGGCCAATTCTCGCCTTCAGCTCGAAGGCCAAGTCTACATCTACTATTTTCCTCGAAATATAGTATTCTCTTCTGTGTATTTATATATACGAGAGTCGGGTCGTTATTGATCAAGTATAATCTAACCATCATCATTGATTTCTAGGTACTGCTGGATGCAGCACTAGTGTGGGAGCACACAACCGCAGCCCCAGTGAAGCGTAATGACATCGTAGCTGGCACTGAATTCCTATCAGTTTTTATAAATGGTGAAATAGCACCAATACCTCGTAAACGTGGCTTTCGACGTGGTTACCAGGTACAGGACAATGTTGCTGCTGAGTCACGACAAAGTGAGGCCTCAATATACCGGATATCCCGGGCTCCATCGAGTCCAAGGCCGACGATAACACGTCCCAGCCATCGAGAGATTGGCGCCAGGCTATATCCAATAAGTCACAAATCACTGGAGCACAATAGACAGAGTTTCACTCCAATTGTTGGGGATATTGGCACAACTGAGGAGATTGGATTGAAGTTGAAAGCGCCAACACCGGCAACTGGAGATAGCCATTATCATCACAATCATCATCATCAAATGATGAGGCTTAATGGTACCAGGGCTTTGAGTGATGGAAAGACTGTTAATAGAAAGATCATTGGGGTCAGCGTGACATCAACAGTTGAGGCAACACCATACAAGGTGAGGGTTGAGCACTACGACAACGATCAGCTCAGCATGGTAACAAGATCCCCCACGGAGTTACCATTACAGGAAACTTTTTCTACCGCTAGAACTACAAAGTCTACCTCAACACTGGGCATATCGTCAACGCCTTTTACGTACACAAAAAGTCTCAGTACCCCAGTAACGAGAGGATCAACGGCCACAACTCCACCTGCGCGATTAGTCACTGAAGAACTGAGCAATATCGTTTCTGAATCAAATCGTAGTGGTTTTTCGGTTGATGAAGGGCTGCCAAGAACTAGTTGGCAGGCTAGGTCTTCTGTTACTCAAGGGGTTGGTTCAACCATTCCTCATCCAACTCCCTCATCAACATCACCAAAGGTTGAACTAGACTCTATGTCTGTTGGAAGCTCCTCAGAACCTGTGGAGCAGAGTTACGAGTTGCCTGAAGAAAACCCTGAACCTCCGGAGAATCACGAAGAACCCAGGGAAGTTGGCGATAATCCACCACAAGGACGGAAAGCTGGAAGACATTACGACACATCTTTGTACAACCAGCCACCCAAAGTCTACCCTCAGCCGTCGAAAATATATGGCAAACCTTCTAGGGTTTATTCAGAACCTTCGAAAGTATACGGCGAACCAGAGAAGAGGTATGGAGAACCTGCGCAAATCTATTCGGAGCCTTCGAAGGTGTATAGCGAGCCAGCGAAAATCTACTCTGAACCGTCCAAAGTATATTCTGAACCGGCAAAAATCTACGGAGAACCTGAGAAAGTATATTCTGAGCCAGCAAAGATTTACTCTGAACCTGCACGAATTTATGGAGAGCCAGCTAAAGTTTATGGCGAGCCAGCAAAGATTTACAGCGAACCAGCTAAAGTCTATGGGTCTGATGGACAACCGGTGGAGCCAGACGAGCAGAACTACGAGGTCGACGAAGCCGTCAGTGTTGGAAGTAATGGAAATGTTCATGGGGTTGTGACGGAGGCGTCAAATGCCCCAACCGATGTTGATGGTCACAAAGTCGGTTACGTTGTTGAAGGGAGAAACTACCGAAAATATAGGGTTGAGGAACGAACACCAGATGGCTTCATTGTTGGAGAGTATGGAGTTGTGAGTCATGACGATGGATCTCTGCGAGGTGTCAGATACACTGCTGATGGGACGATCAATCCTAGGCTCATTTATGATGCGCTCATGAAGTTTCTTGCCCTGTGAAAAGGTTCTTGCTAAGTATAGAAGTTTAAGGAAAAACTTAGCAGTCAAATGATGAAGGGAGATGAATTTGAAATGGAATCGCAAGTTTTCTGTCACATATCTTCATACTCAAGAAAATTATTCATGATTCAAGTCCATAGGTCGAATACGTAAACTACACTGATAGAATGATTCGCTTATATCGATCGAGATTCATCAACTATTAACGAATGTTATAGTTAAATACGGCCAAACAAATATTCCTTAATAGTCGAAAAATGATGTAGTTGAGGCGGTCGATTCAGATCAAATATATTATCCGTTAATAGATAATGAATCAGCAGTTAAAGTGATCGGTTGAGCTAAGGTAATCCTCCAATAAGACAGCAGAGACAAGTCAAATTATGTTCATGGGTGGGCATAGGGCAAGATTAATATGAACACATTTTTTATTGGTAAAATAAATTGCACATATCAAACTCAATGAACGATGCTCCAAATAATAATGTTGAACGGCGTCAAATGAAGCGTACGTTGAGCAAAGCTCGGTTCGTTAAGTAAACTAATGATTATTTCTCTGAACTCCACGACTCCCGGTTTTTATAAGAGCGTTCGCTTTGATTGATCACTATAAGGATATTTAAGATTAATAAGGAAAATATATACATTCAGGAGAAATATTGCGAAAAGGCTGTTAATTATATGAAGTATGATGAGTTTTGGCTATTAAGGATGTTTATCCCTGAATGAAAACCCTGATCACTCTACGTTATTCTTATTCTGTTTCTATTTGAGTTACCCGCTAATGAAAATTTCAACCCTTCTATGGAAGGCTCCCAACGAGAAATTAATTTCTGAAAATCACTCACAGCAACATGTGTTATCCATCTGCTTGAGGAAGAGTGGTGATGGCGTGCACTTCAATCAAAGTAATGGGTAGTTTGATAACTCAGCCTTTTGAGAAAAAAAAAGATTGTGATATTCTTTAAGATATCAATTTTAAAGGTATAGATTTTATCGACGATGCGAAGAATTATGGTACCCGGCATAATAAGCGAGAAATTTGTGATTGATTTTTTCAAAGATCTGCAAAAACATGGCCGATATTACGATTTTAAAATATTGACAACGTGGCTCTGACAGCTCAACAATGTCGGTAGGGTAGATGACGATAAGACAGTAATGGCGCAGCACCTCGCTAAATGCGGTGTTGCACGATCAAAATTTGAGTGCTACCACAGTAGTCAGTCATACGTCAATGTTTATAAACATTTTCCATACGTCGTTATAAGTTGAATCGAAAAATTAATAGGAAAAATTATTTATATCGTAAATGATTTATTCGATTTTTTTAATTTTATTTTCCGACACGGCTGCTCACTTGAGCAGTTGAACATCCTTAATAGTATATTACCTTCGAGAAGGTTAATTTTGTAAAAAAATAAAATTTACTTTTGAGTGGCGTATGTTATTTTATATGTCAGAAGGCAGGAACTGTCCAATTAATCCGTGTGCAATCGACCAGGTACTGCACGCTGAAATATAAAGAATCGTTACTTATAACAAACGAATCCGTGGAAAAGGCCCAAAGAAATCGATTACTTAATAATAAATTAATCGTTCTATCAGTGTACTTGATCCAATTAGAATGGTTATAACTCCATTCAGTAGCAAAGCTGTAACAAATAATAAGTCGATAGATCGCAATTTTGTAGCAGAGTTGGGTAGCTGTTTTTACAGAATCCAGTTTGGATTTTTTGTATTTAATTATTCACTTATGGAAACATAAATTGATTTATTTGAGTGTAGCATTCCATTTGAACAGAATGAATCAACTAAGTCCTTATGATTATAAATCCATCAATAAAACAGGAACCTATAAAGTATTACCAGTCCACGTTGACTTTGATTACTTCATGAATATTTTTCTTGTGTGCTAAGGGGGTTACATAGACTCGCTAAACAATTTTCTATTATTTGTTGATGTCAGAAGACTTTGAAGTGAGATGAGTCGCCCATGCGTTATTAACGATTTTTTTTATAGACAATGTTAAGAACTAGCCGAAAATGTTTCCAATGTTTTATGAGTTACTTGATGAAAATCATCTTCCTTAATCCTTTTGCTGCAAAACTGCCTTCGACACGTCGGCGAACGACTGATTTGATTAATTTCTCTGCTCTTGCCAACTCAACTGCCTCATCTTGTTATTTTTAATAAAATTATTATCATAAGGTAATGAGCCTAGAAAAAATGTTCGATTAATTCTTGTTCTTGAGATGCTGCTATTGAACATTTTTCTAGGTTTTAGGAACGCTTCTGTGACGATTTAATCCACTTGGAAATGAGGATCAAAGGGGCCTGAGTCCAAATAACTCCGCTTCTACGACCAAAAATGGCGAACTCGTCACGGCAGCGTTTCGAGTAATAGCCCACGAGTGTTAAATGTCGAAAATAATACGTAGTAATTTGATTCTATGATCGATCACTAGTTTCATAAGGATATTAAAGATACCGACTCATTTTGCATGGGTTCAACATTCAAGAAGGTATCTCGGTAAACGAGAAATATTTGTTTCATGTCTAGTTATAATCATAGGACTAATAACGGTATCTTACCATACGTTTCAGTCCATTGTCTTCATATTACCTCAATCATTGAGATAGTACCTCTTGGATTTTCTTAGTCGTTTGTTTATTACAAGTGTTTTAAAGCGAGTGTGTGTGAGAGTAAAATGATGCGCTAAATTCAATGAGCTAAGCACTTGAGATGCAGTCATTTTAGCAATGCAAGGAACCATTTTTCATTAGGGAGACGGAAGCAGATAATATACAATTTTACAATTTTTCAATATTTTTGATTAGTATTAAATAATTGAAGACAAAAATGTGATGAAAGTGCCTCGATTGAAGTAAAAAATGAGAATGTAAAAAGAAATTGCCAATTTTTATGAATATATGCTCAACGTTTAGTGATTTTATGAATGAAGGAGAAAATTAATTTATGGATGGATGACAGATTTTTCACTAGATGGAATGAAATTTCACTCATTGTTCATTGTAAATTGCATTGATTTATTTAATAATGTCAATCATCTGAATTAACCATTTTTAACTACCAACTACGAATGCTCATCGACAATATAATTGATTAATTAATTGATGAATTGATAAGGCAGTGCAGTGTAAGTAATATTTACTGTTGCAGAATGTATGAAGCTGTGCTATCGCCATTCCTCGGGGAAAACAAATTATGAATAAATTGATCGACATAAACTTTTCTTTCACTCGAATTCTTATTATTTTACCTGGACATGATGGCAAAATGAGGGAGATGGGAGTAACTAAATGATTATAAAGCTGTCACATCTGACAGAGATTGCACCATTATCGGGGAATTAATGGCTGGCAATTTGAGAGAAAGAAGTGACTGTGGAATGCAGAGTGAGCATTGCCATAAATAAAACAGTCATTAATATTGTATTCGAAGCCTTGATCGGAACGACTCAATGTTCACAAAGCAGGCGGGCGTCGCCACCGATTTTTCATGCATGTTCATTGATTTTTTTAGGTAAAAAATATTGTTAGTGGCATCGAGTAAATTCCTGGTGGAGGTCTAGTAATGGTCGGAAATTTTGAGCCCGCATAGAACTCTCCTTTTTCATGATTCGCCGAGTTAAGAAGATTTAATGTTGTAGACTTGAAAAAAAATGTTTTGATAAAATTAAAATTGAAGTTAGACAATGGATTTACTTAATAGATTCAATTTCAAATAACCTTGGGCATCATGATGATAGACGTCAAATCGACTGGTTAGTTTTTTTATATTCAGGATGAGACCTTTTACCAGCAAACAACCGTAGACACTCCAAATGATGAACTTTTTCATATAAACGACAACGTGTGTGAAAGAATTCAGATAGTTACAATACAATTAGAAGTTGTGCTCATTTGTCAATACTTGATTTTTCAATTATGTAGGAATCACTCAACTTTACGAGACTCTTCATAATCTGTTACTGAAGTAATGAATAGTTATCTCTTAGACGAATTAAAAAAATTGAATACAATTATATTATGCGACATGGCATTTTTCAATTCCAATTAATACAGTATCAACATAGAAATGATTTTTTTTTCTTTCATATCATCTGAGGTGATTCAATTAAATAATATAAAAGCGTTTAAGTTTAATATGCGCGCTCAACTTTTTGAATCTTCTGAAAAATTTCTAACTATTTGAATTTCAAAGCGATGGTAAGACTTACCTATGATTTGGACTTTGAGGCCCCAAGTGTACGTGCAAGTGATAAGTGCATTTTGTGGAATAGTTTATTAACAGAGAGATATACAAATTGACCAGTTGATCCCAATAAATATAGTAAAGAAAGTGACACCAGCACTGAAGAACTGTCATGTCACAACAATATGGCGATGGTGTACGTTCCTCTTATCTATTGCTAATAAATCGGGCAGATAAAGTTTGCCAAATTGTCTATGTAGATGCGACCGAACGGTCGTAACTCTCTGTGTCCCAATATTTTGTTATGTTTCGTTGAATTTTGGTGTGTAATTGTTCATCAGTACAGTTCGTCAGTGGGAAGTTGATTCAATAGAAGTCATTTCTTCATAACATTTTATTATGAGTAAGTTTTCCATAAAGAGTTTTTTTCCATAAAGTTACATGCCACTACTTACAAGGAACACTAGGGAGGTGTTCCCCTCCGATTTCCGTGAAATTTATCCATGTTTTTGAGGGCTAAAAACTAAAGAACACGCTATTTTTTTATTGGCTGATACGCGGTTTTGAGGGGGGAAATCATGCTCAGAACATGACGACCTTTGGGAAAGATTTTTCCGGTTTTCTACATGTTCCATGTAACCTTGGGTGCCATTTTGCCCGCTTTTCCCGGCTTTAAATTTTTTTTTCTGCCGTTAGGGGATACAGAACATTATCAGTGCTGATAAATTTGTGAACATACAAGCGGCAGGTGATTCGGACTAAGCTTCCACCATAACTATGTTAATACCTCCAAATAGCATGTCAAATTGATTAATAGAAGCATAAACCATCAGAGAATACAAGCTTTTATAGGAAATTCTAATAGTCAATTAGTTCAGCAATCATGAGGACAGTAGAAAAATGTTGAGGTTATGAAGTGATTAATTTAACTGATAGAATTAACTATATTCTTTTTCCCTGTCAGCAGAAATAAGCCTCTGTACAATGTCTGTATTCCCTAGAAATTTAATCCCAGCAATAGTAGTAAATGAAGCTGCCAGAGATATTCAAACAGAACATGAACGGGCTAGGATTCAAGCCAGTAAAAAAAGAAATGATGTAATGAGAAATGGGCAAAATCCCTTCCGCGCTCTAGATGAACGTTCTTTTAGAAACTACATTTTACATAGTGAGGAATTTTAGTTGGAACGACCGGCTGCCTGGGTGTTCACAAATCCAGGAAGCCTGAGAATCCACGCCCCCTCGGGGAAGAGAAAAGAAGTTTTAAGTCAGGAGAATCACGCAAAATGTATCCCGTGCACGTTTTATGTTAACATAAATACTGTGTATTACTACTATGTTTACGTTTTATTTATTGAATTGGTTTAGGAAAGTGTGTTTGCCGCATAATAAGGGAAGGGATGAGGATTACAGTATAGCTCCTTCATGCTTTCATGCCTACTTTAAAAAATGTGCAGCGCATCTAACTTGGAGAGCTTAAAATTATTGCACGTACTGAATTAGTAATAAATCGTTGTTAACTTTTTTCTCTCCACGTTTTATTTCAATTTACAATTAATTTAATCATTTGAGAGCACTTAGTTCGGCGTTCGGCGGCCATACTGTAATTCTCACCTCCCCCCTTTAAGCGCCAAACAAATGTTCCTGAACCTATTCAAAAGAAACGTAAACACTACAAATGCACCACCTAGCGGGAGCGAAAAACAAGGTTTTATGTTAACATAAAACGTGCAGGACTCTTCCCCTGGTCGCGCCTCAATTCCCACTCAATGCTAGAATTTTTGCTGAAATTTCATCAGACAAATTCACCAAGTTTTCTCTCAGTATATAGTTATCACCTATACCATAATGACTCCATGATATTTCCCAGAACTTTATTTTTTCCCTCTATTCAGACAAGGCTAAAAAAGTAAAATGATATTATTTCATGTACCAAATGTCCATTGGAACCTGAAAGACATCAATTATACCCAACCCATCTATCATTTCTACATTCCAACGAGGAATCCTAATTATCGATTTAAAAATCCACAAACTAATTTGCAAATGCATTCATGAAGCTATTAATCTCAAATTTTTTAACGGAATCAGCCTTCAGGCGTTTCATCGCACTGCTCCCTGTATTATTGAATAAAAACTTTGAAACTCTCTTTTCCTCTCACAATATGGCTCCTATAACGCGGTTGTTAGCTCTAACCGGTAGTCCGT